AACGCGTTCGAAGAGAACCACAGATGCTAGAGATGGAGTGAAAGAAAGGGATAGAAGGCACCAGAACCACATTCGTATTTTATTTCACAGCAAAGACAATAATAAAAAATACAGAATACACTTCGGTGGCGAGAAATGACAGATTCCATCGGTTTCGCGAGAGTACGCTTAACATCTACGACTATCATAAATTATCATTTATAGCTTAGAATCTAGATGTTATTAACAATCGTGATATGGCAGATAAATTCCGACTGCAGCAATGGCAACGTGAAGTAACAAGGGGCAAAATGGTTATTTTATATATATATATTATAATAAAGTAATTGGAACAATATTACACACACGTGGTATAGAGTGGACTGTAGGTAACGTTATTTACAGGTTGTTTCTTTTGTCAAACTGTTGACACGAGAAAGAAGTCAGGTACGATATAAACTGTGCTGCCATTGCTGCAAAAACATGACACCACGTGACGGAAAAATCGAATCGAATCTCGAGGAGAAACTCGCGCAATTTTCGTGATCTAACTAAAAATGTATATTCATATTTTTAAAATAAATCCGATGATCTTTGGGTAAACGTGCGATCGAAATTTTAAGTTTCTGCCAATTTACGAAACAAAGAAGTCGAAGGAATTGTGAAATAACAAAAGAAACACAAAGTAAAATACAAAGTCCTAGAACGTAGTTTAAACATTTCCCTTCGAGTTACCAAAAATTTTCGTTATGAATTTATTTACATTATATTTCATTACGAGTCCTTTACATTTCTCTAGGCGGCAAGTTTCGAATGAAAATATAATGAATATTGCTCGCTCAAAGTATCGTACGTACCCGTTTACCAAAATATCATTGAATCAACAAAGGGAATTTCGTTTTAGTTGGTCAATAGTAAAGATCGTTTTGCGTTGAGAGCGCTACAGCGCGAGCGTGTGCTTTCATGTGCGCTTCACGTGCCCTCGTCACTTCCGGCGTGTCTATCACACGACCATCCGGTCCCAGTGGAGCCAACGGACCTCGGTAACCCACCGTTGGACTGTGTTTGTAGGTCACTCGGACAGGGGCGAGATACACCAAGTTCCTTCGCCCGTCGAAGATGTCGAATTCGTAAAATTCGGACGCCTTCGAGGCTGATCGCGCGTGCGTAGCTAAGCGCGGGCTCTTCGCCTCCGTCATCTTGAAACAGACGAGAAGAAAATGGCACTAGGCAAGAGGGATTTGAAGGAGAGAAACTTATTAATTTCAAACTCAATAGTGTAGAAGTTTCTTTGAGAGAATTCTTAAAGGGAAGTAGAAAACTCTCTCAATTTTTAAATTTTAAAGATCACCCTTCTCTTTCAATCCCTTCGAAATTCTGAAAGAAGACTTGTCAATTAACAATTTAGAAGTTATTGTTGCCTTTTCACTCCAACAGAAATGAAAACTCTAGTTTCCAGGTTTGAAAAAGATCATCCCCTTTTAATTCTCAGACAATTTGAAAGTTTCTGTGACTTTTTTCAATTCGAAGAGAATATAAAAACTAGTTTCTAGATTTTAAAGATCATTCCTCTCCCCTCCCCTGTTTCGGTTCTCAGCTTTCTTAAAAAAGACTTATTAATCGATTTAGAAATTTCTGTAGCTTTTTCGCTCGAGGAGAAATAAAAACTCTCAATTTCAACCCTCCCCTTTACAATATTCAGCTTCTTAACTAAAACTTCCGCCCTCCGATTTTTAATTCTTCGAAATTCTCGAGCTAAAGGAAGACTTATTAATTAACAATTCTCGATGTTTCTGTAGCCTTTTCGAAGAGAAACAAAATTCCACATTTTAAACATCACCCTCCCCCTTTAATTCTCAGCTTGTTAAAAACTCCCGCTTTAATCTCGAGCTGAAATTCCCGCAAGCTGATGCTTTTTGTTCTCAGCTTTCTGAAAGAAATCGTCGAACTGAAATTTCTGCTACTCTTGATTGTCTTCTTCTTCTTCTTTTTTTTTTTTTTTTTTTTTTTTTTTT